AGTCATATACACCTTGGATGACTTGAGGGTGAGTAATTTATGGGCTAATTTTCATTTTTGGGTGAACTAACACTTTAACATGTTAGACTGCACCCCATAAACACAATCAAGCCTAGGAAAAAAAACAGTCAACCACCCCTTTAAAACAGAATGCATGTGCTTTGACACCTATGAGCAGATCAGTGGACGATGGTCTAAGTTATGTCAGGCTGTCCTTGAAATGTAAGGTTATAGTGACAATTTAAGCAAACAGAATTTGCCTCTAAAAGTTTATAGAATCGAGCATTCATGTGATGGCCATTGGCCATATGAACTACCAGTGAGTGAAGTGCTTACCCGCCTTTGTACTTATCACAAATGATTGATCAGATTCACCCTTACTCAGCTAAGTAGGGTTCTCAATTTAATGTTAATACAATTATTTGAAAAATAGTAAATTTATGCAGTCAATTAAACAATTGACCCATACGTTAATTTAAATGATAGGGAAACATCTAAGCTTCATTTTTTTAGCTGTTTTTAGCAAATTTCATATTTTTTAAATATTGATGGGTACAAGTTTAATGGTATACATGTTTATTATAATAAATATAAAAATGGGTTCAAAGGGATTGCTGGGGGGAGCGATGTGTCAGTGGAAGGGTTTAGAAAAACAAAACAATAAAATTGAATTCAAATGGATAAAAGTATATAAATAAGAAGTTAATTAATTAATACAAAAATAGTGAATAGAAAAATATAATGAAAACAGTCTTTTATAAATATTTTGTGTGTTCATTCAGTATATGAGGATGATCATATTTGGGGGTCTGTGGCAACTAAAAGATTGAAAGCCCCTGTATTATAATATAAATTAATTAAATGGATGTTTATTTCTGCGTTATCTGTGCAAATTTAAGGTACTCGTCTGTTACCTTTTTTTAATTTGCTAGCAAGTTTGGAGCTGACCATCTATCTTATTTGATATACAGGTGAAGTAAAGTCTTCCAGTCCCACTGAGAGTCCTCTGATGGAGAAGAGGGAGCTGCATGAAGCTCACAGTCCCATCCTGAAACCTGTCTCTGAGGAGTCCAGTGCCATGCCCTCTATCACCCCCTCGGCCCCTCCTTTTTCTGAGGAGCGCAGGGTCACCTTTGACATCGGAGATTCAGATGACGCAGATCAGAAGGACTGCAAAGAGTCAGAGACGGGCAGTGGTGAGTCTGTAGGGCCTCACATGCCATGTCAATCATGATGTACGTTTACTGTTTTTGTCGAAGATCGATCATGTAACTTGATTCTGTTTCTAGCAGCTCCGAAGACTGCCCATGTTCATTTCACCACCGGCCCCACTCACATTCCTAGCAATGGTTACTCTCAGTACCACACAGTTCACAAGGACTCCGGCCTCTACAAGGACCTGCTGCACAAACTCCATCTGGCAAAAGTGGGAGACTGCATGGGGGAGGGTGGCGACCGGCCCATCCGCCGCAACAACAGCTACACCTCCTACACCATGGCCATCATCGGTATGCACGGAGACTTCAAGCCCAAAGAAGCTGACTTCCGTGCTTCAGAAGATGGAGACAAGGAAAACGCCAGTGCCCATGAGAGGAAGCGCATCCGCATGGACAGCTACACGAGTTACTGCAACGCAGTGGCGGAGAATGGTGCACCTGAAGGTCTCGGTGATGGTGAGGTTGCTTTGGAGATTGCCAATGATGATGCTGGGAGCAGCCGTAGTTCTTTGGACGAGGATAGAGCCGATGCTGACAGACCTGAAGTGTCGATGCTTTTCCAGTTCCTGCAAATTCTCACCGCCTGTTTTGGTTCCTTTGCTCATGGAGGAAATGATGTCAGGTAATGCAAATGCAATGAACTGCACGGTGCTCAAATTAGATTTAAGAATGCACTATAATCTTAAGCACTTCAAGCAATTTAACTAGTTCTCTTTTGCTTTCAGTAACGCAATTGGTCCCCTGGTTGCCCTGTGGCTGGTCTATGAGAGTGGGTCCGTTATATCACATGCACCAACTCCAATCTGGTTGCTGCTGTATGGAGGATTGGGCATCTGTGTCGGTTTGTGGGTCTGGGGCCGTAGAGTCATCCAAACCATGGGCAGGGACCTGACCCCCATCACCCCGTCTAGGTATAAACACAGCCATGTTGTCACATCAGACAGCACCTGCTGTGCAGAACACAACCTCCCAACTGGCAGACTTCCCTAAACAATGCTTTGTTTAATTTCAGTGGTTTCAGCATCGAGCTCGCCTCAGCCGTCACTGTTGTAGTTGCTTCCAACATTGGTCTTCCAGTTTCCACCACTCACTGCAAGGTAAGATGGGCCTGTATGCAAAACAAACCAATGCAAATCAAGTCCTAGATGGAGGCTATTTGAATGAAGCTTGTTGTTGAGGGTGTATCTTTTTTTTGCTTTCAGGTCGGGTCTGTGGTGGCTGTCGGTTGGCTGCGCTCCAGGAAGGCTGTGGACTGGCGACTGTTCAGAAACATCTTCATGGCCTGGTTTGTCACTGTGCCCATTTCTGGCCTTATCAGCGCGGCCATCATGGCCCTGTTCACCTACGTCATTCTGTGAGGCCTTGAAAATCTGCTCTGCCTCCCTCTCTGCTCACGAGGAGCCGCAACCTGCAACCAGGATCCCCAGAGAGAGGTGGAGGGCATATCTCAACCTTCTCTGTCTCTCTTTACCTTTCCCCTCCTTCGTCATCCTCGTGATGAGTGGGGATGAAAAAGGCCCCTTTCGATAGAGCCTGTGATTCTTGACTGCATTATTTTTAGCCTGTATTGATGATTTGTGTGCATTGCACCAGGTCACATGCCATAGGCCAGAGAAGAAAATGTCTTCAAAACTAAAATGGTTGCCATTTAAATTCCCTCTTGTACATATGTCAGATCACCTTGTTTTTGTTTTTTATGTAATTATGTACAGAACTATAGTTTTTTTTTTTAAGGTAAATGAACAATTACAATGCAGTATTAGCCTTCATTTGACATGCATTTTTCATTACTTTCATAATTTGAGTTCCTTAGAGAAGCGGTGTTTTGGTGCGAATAATTCGGGGAAGAGGAATTGAGTTGCATTTTCCTTCTCTTATGCATTCAGTATGTTAATTTTCCACTTTTTCTCAAGCAGGCCTAACTAAACTCAAATAGAGCCTTATGACACCCACATATTTAGGAGAGTCTTGTGAGGGTTGATTAGCAAAGTTAGTTGGTTGCGCACATCATGTTCCTTAATACAATTTCAGTGTCCTTTACCTGGTGTCTTTTAGTTTTTTTTGTAGGTTACACTACAAAACAGGCCTCTTGGTAAACTAAACAGTTGTTCTGTTATCATTCTTTTAGTCGTCTTTTCTTCAATGGTTTGCAGAATATCAGATTTTTTTTGGTGTTTTGCACCACTGTAATTGAGCTGTTAATATTAGCTCTGCTTTGCCCAGCGTTGAATAACAACTATAACGGACCAACCTGTACTTGGAGATGCAGTTAAACATCTCAGCAACTAATGCAAAGATTCACGCTTTTTCTTAAAGCACAGAAGCGCTCTGCTGTAGTTAGCATGCTCTTGGCGACTCCCGTAAATGCAGCGCATCCCCAAATGTTTGCTGTAGACAATTGAACTCCATACGGTGGATTAGGGCCCATTGTGCTCGGTCACCAAGGGTCGCTGTTGTTGCATACAGATGAAGTGTTACTAGGATACCCAAACTCTTGTTTTACCAGTGTAATACTGGTCAGGGTTACTCCAGGGGAGGAAAGATCACAAGTTAATTATTAAAAATATTCCCCTGCCAAAATGAATTCGGCAATCATTTGTTTTTAGTCAAGAAATATAACCCTGATGAACCTCTTCCCTTGAGTATTACAGTAATGCTTTGCTGTGATGCTTGACATCAGAAACAGTGAATTAAACTCAATGGACTGAAGTTTCCTTGCGTTGGATTTGAGACCATTGGCGTTCCTGTAAAACTTGACGGATGGTGTAACTCATCTGCTCCAGCCTTCTCAGACCTGCTTCAGTAGTTCTTCTGAGGAATGTATACCAATACAAACACAGTATATGTATATATTTTACAAAGGGTTGCTATTGTAACCCCTACAGCAACACAAATGACTTACCCTATTTATTAGATAGGTGTGGGACAGTGGTGTTAAATGATGGTTTGGACTGAAGGCAGCAGTAGCTCCATCTGCACTGCTGTGATTTGGTTTTAACTTAACACATTTAGACCTTACATAGTTGCTGTAGTTGCCTTAAGGATGTTTCTCTTTCCGGGGTTTTTTTTTTTTTTTTTTTTTAAACCAAAGATAAAAAGGTGGAGCGTTTTGTTGTCCACTGGGCTTTGGGGATGAAAGAATAAATGTCTTTTCCAGTATCACCTGTCTTTGTCTATTGATTTTCAAAAGAAGAAATATTTCTTGTTCTTTCTTAAGAAATTATATAATAATTTTATAATTCTAAAATGTTTCATATATATTAGTTAAATCAAAATATATATTTCTACAGTATCATATATTGTTTATATATATATATATTTATGTTATATGCCTAATTTCAAGTATTTCTGGTTTAAAATCAGGCAAAACACTACACATTTATATTTTGGCCATTAAAATAATGATCGTATCAGACGAGACATGCATTTAGCAACAAAACTATCAACATTTCCCTCAAAAATGACAAAAAGCATTCAAAAAGCAAGTTTAAGAGTCCTTTTCTATATGCAGTAAAACAGCTTGTCCTCATCAGGTTGTGGGACTTGGGGACAGGCAATGATGCATCTTTGGTCCAAAAATAAGATGGGACAATGCAGATGATATAAATAAAGCTCAAATGAGCACCCAAGGACTGTAGACGGCGCTGGCCTGGATAACCGTCCTAGATATGTTCTAACACTACCTACATCTGCTACTCAGACTGTTGCCTCTAAGAAGCCATGTAATCATCTGTTATTACACCCACCTGCAGCCTGGCATTAATATGAACGCGGGACCCCCGCCAGTGTTTACAGTCTTTATTTGGGGGGGAAAAAACAGCCATCACAAATTGTGTGAAAGGTCACCATGCATGTTTTTGTCCAGGTGGTACATACAGTTGGTTAGAATTTTTGCAATATGCTTTATAAAACAATGCATTTCGGTTTTAATAAAGATGTTAGATGGATTCCACACAGCTGCTTCACACGGTCTTAAGAATTGTAATATACATCATATTCTTCATCACCGAAATCCTCTAGAAAGAAAGGTCACATCAATATAAATTAAAAATTGTAATTTCAATTTATTTTTAAAGTTTTTTTTAAATGACAATTATATATATAATTTGAATTTATTTTAATACAATTGGCATCTTGTAAGATTCAGTCCCCAACACTGTTTTTATTTTATTTTTTTTTACATTTCTTAATTTAATTTGCTGGATTAACAATTTACCAGAACTTTTCACATTCTCTTCAACCTGCTCACTGTGTTCTAGAGAAGAACAAAACACAAAAGTTAAGGACTGGAAACAAGGAGACTATATAAAATATGTGGTCAATCATCAAAATGCTATTATAATTGCAGGAGTCAAAAAGTCAGCCATTCAATTTCAAGAGAAACACCACACACGTGACCAAAAATCATTGAATTTTAATGAAAGGACGCATCTTAGACTACTAACTGTTTTCCTCTTTAATTATGGCTACAAATAATGTAATGTGAAGCGTTTACCTGTGATCTGTTGAGAGGCTGTGCAATAAGAGACACGTGTTACATAACTTTACATAAGTCAGGGAAATACTACAGCAATAAACATACAGTATAACCACCGTATAAAGACTAATCACCTTATACTATATTAATATTGTCTGAGATAATCATAGAAATCAAATAACACAAAGGAAACATTGTCCTGGTGTCTTTGTTTGCACTATACTGTAATTTAAATGAATTTACTTACTGTCGTCCTGAGAGTCTGAATCTGAATAAACAAAATCACAGTCAGTTCACATGACCTGTTTTCAAAGGCCAGGCTGCATTGTGAGTGACGGACTGTTGCCCTCGCGTGGTGATGAATGGAATCACACCGAGATACACCTACCTATGGGCGCGTCACTTCCGGTGTTCGCTCCTACGTCAAAGCAAACATTGCGTAAGAGACGTAGAGAATTCGTTACATGTGGCTCAGTACAACAACACTGTTTCCACACACAAAAAAAATTATAATTGGTATAATTTACCAATTATAATGCTAAATGCATATCATTTGCTCTATGCTATACTCTAACTTTATGACAGGTAACAGATATGTGTCATCTTACCATCACTATCTTCCTTCTCAAGCAATTTTTGCTCTGTAAAAATCAGTTCATGACCACAAATATGAATCAATGTTTTTCAACAATGATCTTGAGCAACAAAAGGGAGATAAATGAGACTTCTTACCTTCTGAGTCGTCATCATCTTCCTCCTCTGTAATATATATATTTATATTCATCAAATGCAATTCAGTATTTAATGTTTAATAACATACTATCTATCTATCTATCTATCTATCTATCTATCATCTGACTATTTCTATCTATCTATCTATCTATCATCTGACTATTTCTATCTATCTATCTATCTATCATCTGACTATTTCTATCTATCTATCTATCTATCTATCTATCTATCTATCTATCATCTGACTATTTCTATCTATCTATCTATCTATCTATCTATCATCTGACTATTTCTATCTATCTATCTATCTATCTATCTATCTATCTATCATCTGACTATTTCTATCTATCTATCTATCTATCTATCTATACATGTTACATATATATTTGTATGATCGATTATGTTCTGTACTGAATGTATATGAAAATAACGTTTTGAAAGTCATTCTCTTTACCTGTAGTGTCTGTCATTGCCTTTGTCTCTCCATCTGTTAGGGTTCAGATGATTCAGATGATAACAAAACAAGACTTTTCTCACTCATATATGTCGTTCCTATTTATCCTGTCAGCGAGTCAGAGCATATTGAGTGTGAGTAAATGGCCCTAAACGCACATTTTGATTTGCTTCACATTTACCTTTCACATGAGCAGCCTCATACTCCGACCCATCTGAGGAAACAGATATGAAATGACGTTAGCTTGTGAGAATCTGAGCGTACAGTTACAATATAAGCATCTGTCCGTAATAAGTCATATCAGTGAGTCATGTCAGTGACCTCCAAAACCAGCAGAAGTTACGCAGAGCAAAGCAGGCTGGCATGAGAAATAATGACCCACCTGTTTGTGGAGTCATGCTGTTCTCTTCAAACGCTGCGGTCAGACAAAACAGAGAACAGATGTTGTCTTTTTTCCTAAATCTTTGACTGTAATAATATGCTAATCAAGCTGGAAACAGTGTTACCTCTCTCTTCTGGCAATTCAGTCCTTTCATCACTTTGCAGAGATGCTGAAATCACTACAAACACAAAAATGTACAAGTATAATTTAATTTCTGTCATATACAGATTTTATATTACTCCACAAGCAGATAATGTATAAAATGCTGGCTATTTGGCCATCTATTACTAATCGAGGATGAATTAAATGGTTATTAATGACTTATTCATTAAAAATGTATGTTAACTATCATTCCAAAACAAAACAAATGGAAACATGCACTGCTTAAGAGCTATTAAACTTCAACAGCTAATAAGCTGTCAAAACAGAACTAAAATAAAATGATATTAAATTAAAAGTTGCAAAAACATGTTACGGGTGTAATGCATTATGCTATATGTACTTTGTTTTAAATTTCCCTGAAAATAAAATAAAATTGAATAAATAATAATAGTTAATAAAAAAGAAACAGTCAAAACTAACAATAAAAATGCAATATATATATTTAAACATTTGTAGAAAATAATTTATATATTTAAATAAATGTAAATAAATAAATTTACTAAAATAAAATAAAATTCAATTCAATTAAAAGATGCAAAAGCATGTTACGGGTGTGATGTATTATGCTATGTGCGCTGTTTTAAATTTCCCTGAAAATAAAATAAGAAAAGAAAAGAAAATTTAATAAATATTAATAGTTAATAAAAAACAAACAGTCAAAAAAAACCAAAAACAATAAAAAGTAAAAAATGTAAAAAAGTAATATGTATGAATAATTTTTCATTTTATAGAGGGTTAATAATATAAACATCATATAATAATATTAATAAAAATGTAATAATGTAGTTTTATAGTAATTTAAAAATAACAAGTGACAGAAATGTGTGTAGATATTATATATATATTTTCCTGTTCAACAAAAATAACATAAACATCATATAATAATATTAATAAAAATATAACAATATAAAATAATGATATAGTTTTATTCGAATTAAACAAATAAGAGACATTTTTGTTCAAAACTGGCATGAGAGAGAGAGAGAGAGAGAGAGAGAGAGCGATAACAGATAAATTACACAGACATCAATACAAATGTGTGATGTTATATTTTAATCTTACCACTGTGGAAACCTGCCACTGCAACAAGGAGGATTATGGGTACACTAATTCTCATCTTGGATAAAAGAGGTGGATGCCGAACAAATTGAAACAAAGTGCTAAATGTCAGTGTGCGCATTGAATCACACATTTGCCGGCGGGGCTTTTTTTATGTTTCCTGGCATCACATGCTGTGGCGGGACAG